ATCACACCGCTCACCTGTCAGGACTATGGAACATACACTATTAGCAGTGGTTGGTTTGACTTTGAACTCCCAAATATTTAAACGAATCGCAGGTGGGCCTTTGTTTATGTTCTTGCACCAGATCCTGAGAATACTGTATTTCACCTAAAAAATTCTTCAAAATTCTGTTTAACATTAGCTTTGTATTTTGTTAAAAATAAACAAAAAGACCTCTAACTTTAGATTTTTTAAAAAAAATTATAACCAGTATTTCTATTCTCCTAAACAAAATGAGGATCATAACCTTTCGTCTTTCCTTGAACTGTCCCCCAGTTGCCCTGTTTTGGTTTATAGATGTTAATCACACCTTGATTATAAGCCTCCGCCAGGGTGATTCCTATTCATGATTCTAGATCTGCCAATATGTTCTACCTATTTCTTCACTCGCCTCTGCTTCTTGCATAGCACCCCTTGCATTCAGTTTGCTTCTTTTTTTTAAATTTTTTTTAATATTTATTTTTTTAGTTTTCGGCAGACACAACATCTTTGTTTGTATGTGGTGCTGAGGATTGAACCTGGGCCGCACGCATGCCAGGTGAGCGCGCTACCGCTTGAGCCACATCACCAGCCCCCAGTTTGCTTCTTGTTGAAGTATATTTTTATTCATTCACAGAGTCGATGAGACAACTTTTAGATAGTGTATCTTCAGATCATGTCTTACCCTCTGTATGAGTGCCCTGTGTCTGCTATAACAAGCTGCCCCAGGCTAATGGCTCAGAACAATGCAGGTGTGTTCTCTGACAGCTCTGGAAGCAGGTATGAAGCTAGTTTCAGCAAACTAAAGCCTGTGGTTCCAAATGCTTCGCCTCTGGGCCTGCAGGGGGCTGACCTCCCCTGTCCTAGCTGTAGGAGGCTGGCAGCATTCTTTGCCTCCTGGACTTGTACCTGAAATCACACCCACCTCTTGCTTCCAACATCTTTTCTCTTCTCCCCCCTTGGACCCTCCTGCCCCACTTTCTGTGGCCTGGGTGACTTCTTGGAGCATCTGTTTAAAGTGATGTAGGTCCTTGCCTAAGCCGACCTTGCTTTCTCAGGCACACTCCTTGATTCCTCTGAGCCTCTCCAGCAGCCTCTTCAACCTCCATTTTCCAACAGTGGCCCTTCCTGGAAAACTGGGCCATTCTGAGGTATGCCTCAGACCCACTCCCCACTTGTGGGAACTCGTTCCCTCCCACCCTCCAAGCTGAATGACGTTGGAGAGGAGGTCTTGGTGGTGGGGTCCGTCTCCCCTCCTTTGTCTCTTGTCTCTACCGTGGCTGGTGAGAAACCTGGTCTGTATTTGCTTGATGGTGTGCAACATTTTCTCTCTGTGAACTTCAGGGTTTTCCATTTTCATTCATATTCTGTATTTTTGTTGAAATATCTAGGTAACAAGTTCCACATGGAATAAAGTAAAATAAATTCTACTTTATCCCATGTGGAACTTGTTATGCTTTTACTATCTCATGAGTTCATCTCTTTTGTGTCTGTAGACTGTGCAGCCATGTTCGTGAGGTCTGTTGCCGCAGTCGGCCTTCTGGAACACGCTATAGTCACGTTAAGTCTCACTCTAGCCTCGTCCTTCACCTCCATTCTGTTTTGCAGTGCTAGGGATCAACCTGAAGTCACAAACGTGCTGGGCAAGCTCTCGACCACTTAGCTACACTCCCAACCTTTAATTTTTTACCCTTCTTTTTTTTTATCTTAGTGCTACGTGTGAGTAATTTCTTTAGATCCAACTTTCAGTTTTTTAGTTTTCTCCTCAGCTAGATTTAACAGACTCTTTAACCCACAGGTTGGGTTTTTAGTTTTAATCACTACATATTTTGAATTTTTAGATGTTACACTTGCCCCTCTCTCTCTCTCTCTGTCTCTCTGTCTCTCTCTCTCTCTCTCTCTCTCTCTGTGTGTGTGTGTGTGTGCGTGTGTGTGTGTGTCTGTCTGTCTGTCTGTCTTTAACCTTCCCAGGTCCTGTTGATAGTCTCTTATATCCACAGTCTCCTTAGCCTCTCTCACTTTGTTAGAACTATCGAGTGGACTTATTTGTGTCCCACTCCGGCCACCCAGGGCCTGTACTGTCTGAAGGTTGTTCTGAGTCTTGCTTGGCATGGATTGCTTTCTCGTGTGCTTTATGGCTTGGGAGTGTAAAATGAAGATTCTTGCAGTCTTACCTGTGTGGCTTCCTTGAACCTAGTGTGTCAGTTTGCTAGGTCTGCCACAGTGAGTGACCACACAGGTGGTCAGACACAGAACCTTGCTCTCGCACAGTTCAGAAGCCAGAAGTCTGGACTGTAGTTCCAGCAGGCCAGGCCTCCTCTGGAGGACCAAGGGGAGACTCCTCCCTGCTCTCCAGCTCCTGGCCCAGCAGGATCCAGTCTCTGGGTCCACCATCACGTGGCCTTCCCTCACGTGTGCCCTCTATGTCCTCTTCTGATGCTGATAGAGACCAGTCCTTGGATTTAGGACCCATTACAACCAGAGTGATTTCACCCTGAGACCCCTCACTACTCACATCTGCAAAGACCCTATTTCCAGAGGAGCTTACTTCTGAGGTTCTAAGTAGACATGAATTTTAGGCAGACACTATTCAGTCCATTACACCTGGAATTAAAATGTGTTTGGCCAATGAAAATTGATTTTTGCTCTTTGGAATTAGAGGAACTACCAACTTGGTACCACTTTTTAATGTATTTAGTCTGCTCTCTTTAGTTATATACAACACCAGGATACACTCTGACATTCTTACAAAAGCGTGGAACACAGTTTGCTCCAGTTCAGCCCCAGCACTTCCCCCCGCCCTCCCTCTCCACTCCACCGAGCCCTCTTCAAACCATTTACAGTTTACTTTTTAACCTAAAATTTCTTCTTGGATTTTTTTGGCCCCACCGAAGGTAAGCCGGCGTGAGGGCCATTAGGAACTCCGAGTCCTCAAATCCTCGGCTTCCTTTTCCTGCCCCTGAAGAGCACGGTCGACACAGGCGGTCTCTCTCCCACCTTTCCTGAGGTGGCTTGTTTTCTGTGTTCCTACCACAGTGCCACTCTGTGGGGGACTCGCTCTTATTTAAGCTTCCTAACCTCATACCTTACCTGGAATCTAGGGCATTTCCTGTCCAGAGACGCGTTTGGCTTCAGTGATGAGTAACCTCTCTGGTTTCCAGCCTTCTGTGGTTTCTTGGCCTCCATGATTTTCCTCATTTCCCACCAGCTCATTCATGCATATCAAAAGGACTTTATGCACCATTTAAGGACACCAAATTAGAGCTGAACAAACAGGGACATGTAATCATGTGGGATAGAAAACATCATGAGAACATTAACTCTTCATAAGTTAATTTATCAATTAGCCTCAATACCAATAAAAACTTTTTAAATTTTGGAATGAGACAAACCAATTCTGAGTTCCTATGGGAAAATAAATAAAGCTCTAGAATGCTGAGGCTTGCCCCACTACGTATTTAAAAACGTTGTGAATGCTAAGTACACAAGATTCACCCACACGCGGGAGAGGGGCAGGCAGATCAGAACAGCAATCCCACCTCAAACAATGTGGGAGACACAGGCGGACCGGGCGGTGTTGGCGTGGAGAAGAGAGTGCTGTGTGGGCCGGCTCTCCGTCACCAGCGTGAACTATCACGAGAGTTAACTGACAAGGAGAAAAGGGTTTGGCTCACAGTTTAGAGTTTAAGACTGGACAGATCGGTTGCTTTCTGCTTCTGGTGCACATGCCAGAGGGCCAGGGCAGGGTGTGTGGTGGAGCAAACTCTCACCTCGGGCCAGGAAGCAAAGGAGCCTCAGGATTGTGTGTGTGTGTGTGTGTGTGTGTGTGTGTGTGTGTGTTCTTTTGCATTTTCCACACAGATAACCATGTTATCTATCATCAAAGACTGTTTTATTTCTTCCTTCCCAATTTGAATACCTCTTATTTCCTTCTCCTTTTTATGGCATTAGCTAGAACTTGAGGTCTAAAATACTGAGAGGACCTCCCTACCTTGTCTCTGATCTTAGCAACAAGACTGAGTTTCTCCCATTAGGTAGGATGTTAGTTAGCTTAACTGTAGGTTAATGGTAGATGCTCTTTATCAGATGGAAGAAGTTCCCTCTATTCCTAGTTTACTGAGAGTTATTATTATGAATGGATGTTGGACTGTAGCAAGAGTTCTTTTCACATCCATGGATAAGATCATGTGAGTTTTCTTCTTTGGTCTGCTGACGTGGTGGATTACATTAGTTGATTCTTGAGTGTTGAACCATCTTTCATACCTAAACTAGATCTCAGTTGATTGTGATTTATGACTTTTCTTATACATTCTCAGGTTTGATCTCCTAATGTTTTGTTGAGGACTTTTGCATCTATGTTCATGAGACATATTGATCCATAGATTCATTTTCTAGTACTGTCTTTGGTTTGGATATCAGAGTAATCCTTGCATCGTAGAACAAGTTAGAAAGTATTTCATCTAGTGTATCTTCTGGGGAGACTGTAGAGAATTCTGATACATTCTAACTTAAATGTTAAGTAGAATTCATCGGCGAACCATCTGGGTCATATGTTTGCTGTTTTGGAAGATTATTAATTATTGATCCAATATATTTAACTGGTACAGACCTATTCAGATTGTCTGTTTCTTCTTGTGTGAGTTTTGACAGGTTGTAATCTCTTAAAAGTTAGTCCATTTCATCTAGGATATCAAACCTGGGGTCACAGAGTTCATGGTATTCCTTCATGATTCTTTTAATGACCGTGGGTTCTGTGGTGATGTCTCCCGTTTCCTGTTGGATGGCAGTGATTTGGCCGTTTCTCCTTCATCCTCTATTTCTTAGCCTGGGTAGAGGTTTATTGACTCTATTGATCTTTCCCAAGAACCAACTTTTATTTCTGTTGATGTTTTCTTGATGTTCTGTTTTCAACTCTATTAATTTTTAGCTTTGCCTTTCTTCAGCTTTTTTGTACTTAATTTGTTCTTCTTTTTTGGTTTCCTAAGGTGGCAGCTGTAGTGCTGGATTGTGAATCTTTCTTCTTTTCCAATACATGCAATCAGTGCTGTAAATTTGCCTCTCTGCTGAGCTTTCGTTGCATCCCACAAATTTTGTAAGTTGTATTTTCATTTTCATTTAATTTGGAATATTTTTAAATTTCTCTGGATATGTCTTCTTCGACCCATGTATTACTTAGAAGCATGTTGCTTATTATCTAAGGACTTGCAGGTGCTGTGACTCAAATGTGTCCCCCAGATTCATGTTTTGGAGGCTTGCTTCCCAGAGGAGAGGCATGGGGTGAGATGTTCTGTTCAAGTCACGGGTGGAGGCCTCAGGAGCGCACAGTGCTGTTACGAGGAGAGCCGGCCAGGTGCTGCGAGAGCACATTGTCACCGCAGGTCTGCCTCTGGGGCCTGTCTCTTCCACCTGCACCTGTTCGTTCTTCTGCTTTCCTGCCATGAAGTAATGAAGCCCCAAAGTGTTCTGCACCAGAATCAAAGTATCAAGGTCAAACTCTGTGGCCATGCCCTTGGCCTTCTGGCTTCTGGAATCATCAGCCAAATAAACTTCTCTTCTTTATAAGTTGCTCAGTCCATGGTGTTCTGTTATAGCAACAGAAAACAGTGAAGACAGTGTAGAGGGTTCAGCTTTCTGTGATTGACTTCTAGATGAATTCCACTGTGGCCTGAGAGCATACATTGTATGATTTCTGCTCTTTTAACTGTGGAAAAGGGGCTGGGGCTGGGGCTCAGTGGTAGAGCGCTTGCCTAGCATCCATGAGGCACTGGGTTCAATCCTCAGCCTCACATAAAAATAAAATAAAGGTATTGTGTCCAACTATATATAACTAAAAAATAAATGTTAAAAGATGTTTGAATATGGAAGAAGAGGGGCTTGATGGGCAAGAATGTGGTGTGTCTTGGTGAATGTTCCATGGGAGCTTGACAACGTCTGTTATTGTGTCACTGTTGGATGGAGCAGTGTATACACATCAGGCATATCCAGTGGATTCACATGCCATTGATGTCCCTCCAAGATTCCACCTGTTAGACCTCCCATTTCTTATAGCGTGGTATTAAACTCTCCAACTAGAATAATGAACTGATTGTCTATTTTCCTTGAATGTCTATCAG